TCCATATCCATGCCATCCGTTTCCAGCGGATCACGAGCCAATAGGGACACGAAGTCAACTTATATTATTCACAGGTTTCTTGTAGGGGCAGTCAATTTGCATAGCCCTCTATAACCGTTATTTAGATTTTAGAAATTCGAATTTATCATGTTTACATATTATAATAGTATGGGTTGGCTCGGAAACACATATAATATGCGTATTTCGGACTTTGATGCAATGTAACACCGTAACGTAACTGTATTAATTCACCAAATGTGACAGATGTTACATCAATCGGTTCGTATAGTACATCCAATCCAAGCGTCCTTCGTGTTTTAACGAATATCAACCGATTTCTGAGTATCGAGATAGTTTTGAACAGGATCCACACTGCAACAAAATTATTAACAAACATTTGCACATATATCACTATTACTGGCAATAATATTTACTATTAATCATTATAGAATAATTACCAAATATGAAATATGATTCAGAACGGTAACTCATATTATAATGTTTAAAATTGTACACATGTATTATGTACATTATACGTTATCCGCCGTTGGAGTAAAATAGTATAATTTTGCACACAAGTTCGTTTTGGAAAACATGCGGTGCATCGTTTCATTTGATCTATAATCAGATCCCCAAAATTAATCTAAAAAGGTTATACATTTAAAAATGGTTTGACTGGTCTAAACGGATTCTCTTATGGAATCTGCGTCTGTAAAAATACCCATATATATTATCATGTCGTGGTTATATTATTTTAAAAATTTGAAATTAAAACCGTGTATACAATTTGTTGTTTTCATTAATAATTGTCGATTGGTGTATTTTATTTCTTTTATATATTTATCTTTCTACTCCGGAACACGATAATGCAAGATTAAATTAATATATTATAATATTATGATATTCTTTTAAAAATTCAATCTTTGGGTTTTAAACGAAATCCTCTGTGCTACTTCAGAATGGTCGGTTTGATCAAAGCGTTAATATTATTGTTGTAAATTGTAATCGTATATAGTTAAGTGAAAATTACTGCAAGACGATCAAAATATAATATAAGTCCTATAATACATGTCTCTTCGTGCAGTATAAAACAATATTATCAAAACATATTTTCTTCGATATAATATTAAATACACACACTGACTGTTCCTGGGTAGGTACTTTTAATTGTTGCCGACCGCGCATAGCTAAAGTGTAATCATGGCAGCTAACCGATAACAGATAAATATTATTCTTCATCTCCTAGTTAAATTATTGTATGTCATCTCTTTGATATTCTGTGCATTCACGGTACATCCGTTTGTTCGCACAATTTGCGTTTACCATTGTCGGTGTCACGCGTGGCTAAAATGATGTGCATAAAAAAAATTGGCTACGTACATAATATTATAATAATGATAAATTGTTATCTGCCAAGAATCGTAGACGATGCTGTATAACAACGATTATACGACCGTTGTATAATTTGAATATTATCTATTATGCGTTATTATATTCGGAGGGGGGGGGGGGGGGGGGGTGGCTCCGCCAGTTGGAAATTGCAATCTATAACGTACCAACATATTATATGGTGTGATAATGAAAAAATTATGTTTGTAACTGTGAAATGTGACGACTTGCGATATTTCCTCGGAACCAATTACTGCAGCACACAGAACGTACGCACGGATGTCTGACATATTATTATTTTGTTTGAAGTGTAACGTCTTGTCGTCGTAGATATAGTCGTATCTATTATACTCATAGCCTTCTATATAATACTGTATAAAATATTTTTTCATATTATATAATATTGTTATATACATATGCAGTCATACGCAGATAATTTGTTTCGAACGGGAATATTAGTCGACGTGACTCGTGTGGATGACACTTTTTGAGATATTTTCCGTTACATATATACGTTGTATAGGTACTGCTATTATAAAGGCGCGGCGTATGTGATATAGTCAGCTGAAGTTTTAAAAGAAGAAGCCAGAGACCAGTCGGAAACAAAAACGACGCTCAATACAGTATAAACGGTTGTTTCCACCCTAAAAATTTGACACGTCGTTAAAAATGTATTATTATCTTGGACACTGCAACTACTTATATACGTTCTCGATACACTCTAAATTCGGTTCCGACTGATGGTCTTATTTTATATACGGACTATGTACCTATATTTTATATAAACGGTTTTCTCTGTGGACAAAACGTATAATAGTTTTCAAACTTTAAAATATTATTTCGATTTTCGTTGTACAGATAATAACAACCGCAAAAATAACACCTCCACATACTTGTGTAACTTGAACATGATATTATTATACCTGCAACGTTAAAGCTTTTCAGTATAATTTTCGTATAACCAAAGAAACGACCGTGTTAGACGTTAGTACTATATTATTATAATGTTCCATGTCTTTCTGCTGGAGTGTGTATATCGTTAGTGTTTCATAATAATATAATACCCGTAATGCCACGGTAGCATGAAATAATGTGAGGTATAAAAAAAAGCTTGAACGTGAAAACTATGCCAAAAACATTTGTCGGTGGACGATGGGGTGGAATCGTTTCGAGAGGTTGGCCGGGGGGGGGGGGGTTCTGCTATCAATGTATGTATATTTATTATCATTATAATATGTAGTATATGGTATGTATACAGGTATAGTCATCACCCTTTAAACGGGTTATTGACTACCTACCTATATATACCTAATAATGTATATAATTTGTATATTATGTGCTTATATACGTCGTACGGGCGTGTAAATCATATACACTACAACCGTGTCTTATGGCGCATCTTAAAAGCTCGAACCGTTGCCGATTCGCCAAAACGACCTAAGTATAGTACGACTCGGGAGGGGGTGCGTTGCTAAGCAACGTTAATGTGACGCCAAGCCGTATAGCACGCACACCGCGAGTATGAAACCGGCTAAACACTGTATAAAACATTCTATGAGCCAACTTTTCGTGCCCACTCTAACGTGAAGTTTAAAACTCTGCAACATTAATGGACTGCCCGTAGACGGTTAATTATATCGTTAAAAACGTTCCTACAGTCGGTTGAATCTCCGCATACGTCGCCCGTCGTGTTTTATCGTTTAGGATGAGGTAAGTAAGAATAACCAGTCCGCGGTTGAGATCGCTCCTTGAAGTTATACTCACTCGAAGTCGACGGTTGATGCAAATCGCCAACATTCCTGCAGCTATTTCACGTATATAATATATTATGTTTATAACCTTAGATCATAATAATATAGGTATACAATGGATAGTCGTTGGATACAACTGAGTTTGTCTAGCCAAAAAAAAGACTTAACCGTTTGGATTATTTTCGTCTATTTTTATTTTTAGTACGATTTTATCGATATTTGGTAATACATTAAACAAATAACCGCAACTTTCTGCAACTGATCTGAAGCTGAATTCAGGCGTGTTCTGTGAATTTTCTTATGATTTTTAACACTAGCCTGATAAGTGATAATCATAATCTTAAAAATAAACTATATAATATGACGTATTATATTATAAGTATATTCTATTATTTTACTCCAAGCTAAATATTTATTTAGTACCTACCTTCTATAACTAATAAATATAAGATATTTATACACCTACATATTATGTACTTTGGAGTTTGGATGTTGATCATGTATGTTATCCGATTTTCAATATAAAAATGTCGGCTGCTCTTGATCACATTATAGTATATATAGAGTATATATACTGATACTATATAGCCAAGCATGCTCATCCCCTATTTATTTATTCGGTAATGAATTTACTCAAATACTGATTATTACAAATTTTAAGTAGGGCCTACCTATACTTCATTATTGTATAACACTTAGATTGTTATGTTAAAAAAATAGTGGCGTCATGTGGTGATAAAGATTTTTTTCAAATGAGCATCTCATTTTTCTTTATAAATTGTTAAGCATGTGATTTTTTGGAAAATATTGATGTACCCAGATCGAAATTCAAACGAAACTTTTTTAATTTTGTGTACTAAAGATAAATTAATTATAGGTAGGTCATTAATACGATTGCTTATAATCAGTTATAAGATGTGATGATTATGGTGATTTACAAATATTATAGTAGTTAATATTAATATATCAAAATTTTATATTTTGTAAAAACTGTTTGAGTGCTAGATTTATTAAGTATAACACAGGTATAGGTAATTTATATTTTTGTAAAACCATTTTTAAGGTCTATTATCATCAGTACAGTATTTTAATAACTCAAAAAATACTCATTAGAATTTTGATTTATTTACCTACATATAAATGTTCAAGACAATAAATTATCAGCTTAACAAATAGACAGTAAAAATGATTTTTTCTAGTTTGAAAATAACCAAATCATTTAATAAATAATAATAATTTTGTGTCATCACATACTCACAGTACACTCTTTAAATTATTTAAAAATCTAAGTTTGTGGTGATAAGTACACTTAAAAAGTAAATTCATTATAAAGGGAATAAATGGGGGTGAGCATGTTTGGTGAATCATCCTGTATATTACTTTTACATTTATATACCTAATAGTGTTCTGTAACTGTATAATATTGTACTGTACCAGATTATACTCTACTTATAATTATTATTATAATATGATGTTTATTATTTTTTCTGTCAAATATTTTTCCCAAAGTATGCGTTTATCGTATGTAACGAACAAAATATAATACCGGACATCTGATATCTTCAGAGGAATTTTATGTTGTTAAAATAATAATAATAATAATAATAAAACTAGTTGAGAAACTAGTTTATTTTCTTTACAACGAAGATTCCGTTTCTTATCAGTGAATAAAATCTTATTTTTATACAGTCGTTATACTAAAAGATAACCGTAAGACGGTCTTGAACTTATATATTAAAAAAAAAAATTTAGACCCGACACGAGAGTCGCTGTGGATTTTCAAAGTGACGAAAATAATGTCTGAGATCTTTAAAGATAAATACATATTATTGTGTAAGAAAAAAAATTGACCAATGGAATATGGTCGTGGTGGCAAATGATATGGCCGCTGAAATGAAACGAACTGTCACGTCGACGGCTGCTGTAGCAAAATGTAATTTGGGTGAGGTCGTCAGGTTATTTTTTCTACTTATTAAAGCACAACAACACCGACCACTAATATTTTGTGATGTCTTGAGAGCCGTTCAGCAAGACACTACCGCGATGCAAAAAAAAAAAAAATTAAATAAACGAATAATATTCCGTACATTGTGTGAAAAAAAACAATCGCTTCGTGGCGTTGGTTCGTTATTTTAATTCGTTCGGATGAGAGACCATTATAATTATTATTATAATATATGCGATGAAAGCGTCTTATGTTTGTTTATTTATTATCATTATGATTATTGTAATATATATATATTTTTTTTTTTTTTTGGCCGTTTGTCTTTGAGTTGCATTTTTGTCACACGCACATTAATAATATATTATGCTTGTAATTAAAAAAAAAATAATAAATACCCAACGCACTCGCACATACAGGCTTGGTCTGCCTTTCGGTTTTTGACACATATTATACGTTCTACGAGACCGACTGTCTATATAACCACCGCCTCGAAACGACTTCGTACGCATAAATATAAAAATAATGATGGTGCCAATATATTAAGCGGTCGACGACGAGCGGTTATCGTTTTTCCGGTATACCTATATTATATGGATATATAAGGTTAGGTTATATTATTGTCGTCAATGGACGCAAGTGGAGAACTGTATACCTGTTTATATATACTTATATACATATTATATGTATTAAACACTATATTCGTACACGGGTTGTCGGATTTTGTGCTGCCCGGTCCTTTTTTCCTCTGCAGTACTCGCAGGGGTGGGCTGTGCTCTGGGGGTTGTGCAGTGCTGGATGGGTCGTGGCGGAGGTGAGGTAAAAAAAAAAAGGTAAATGTGTATACTTTTGGCCACGTACAGAACGTCTACGAGATTTGTGTGCCACATTGTGTGCACTGTGTGTGCGTGTGTGTACTAAAATATATATATATATATATATATACACGCCGGCGTATTGATTTTCGCCGAGGGTAGACGCCAGTGGCGGCGCCGACGGTCTCCGAACCACCGTCGTAGTCGTCGTCGTCGTCGTTACACGCTCTGCACGTCGTCATCGACATAGGCGGAGTTTTCGGGACGTAAAAAAAAAATAATAATAAAGGTAAAAGACCGAAAGAGACGTAAAATATCGGTGGACGTAAAAACGCTGTTTAGTACCTGCCTACATAATATATTTTATATGATATACGTATATGAATATGATACACTCGTGCTGTACTTCGCCGACTCGTATATAGTTGTCCTCAACCAAATTTCTAAATAACAATATAATAATACCATGTAATACGGGGTTATTCAAAATGGTTCATCCGATTTAAAGTGCTTATGTAATTTTATATTTTAGGTTTAGAACAATACGTTATATATATTAAATAAAAGAAACATATGTCAAGTTTAATTAACTGTATCTATAAATGTTCTATGCGAGCTCCTTTGGTTACACATCTAGTCGGTAGTCAGATTCATACCATACTTTTTGCAGCATAGACTACATGGCTGTTGTTATTCGATTTTTCAATTCAACTAGATTTGATGGCCGTGGTGGTATGTACACGGTGTCTTTAACATATCCCCAAAAGAAATAATCACATGGCGTCAGATCTTTGTATAGCCATCTTAAATCGGATGAATCATTTTGAACAACCCTGTATAATGTCATTCACTCATACGTGAATACAAGATTTATCACGATATGCAAGTGTTCGATGTGATATATTATATTATTTATCGTGTACAATTAATATATTGCTGTATGCGTCTTTCGGCGCGTAATAATTGACAAACACGTGTAGGTTTTTATTGTTTTGTTTTTTTCCTATTTTTCAAAACTATGGGTAGTAGGTATAACGTCTGTTATAATGTGACAATAATACTCTACCATAATAGTTCTCGTATTTGCTCGGTCGTGCGCGTCGTCGTCTCGCCGGCAGACCAGAAATTATGTACCCATCTAAAGGTTAAGTTCGTGGTACGGACCTGTATGATAGCAATATAATATACGTACACTTTTATACGAGTATTATTGTTATTGCTTATTATTTTTTCGTTTTTCCGGCGACGATATTATATCGTTATAATATGCTTTCGATGTATTTTCTAACGTATTGTCTCATTTGTTTTGCGGATCTATAGACTTGGCCGCATCGCAGTGGCACGCTTTTCATCTCCTTTTGTGTAATATTTAATTCTATACCGTTTGAATGGCGTCCAAAAATATTTATGTATATACTATATAGTCAGCCAGTCTCGCTGCGCCGCGTTTATTGCCGGTGTTCCCTAGTTGGTAATTATTGTACCAGACGAACAGTTTAAATAATAAATGGCACTCTAAATTATACTCCTCTGGAAAAATTACACTTATTAAAATAAAGCTCGTTAGAAATAATGAGATCACATTCAGCTGAACGATAAAGAAAAACGCTACACGACCGTTAAAGCAGGAGACTAAATAATACGCGTCCATAGATATAGGTATTAATATATCAAAATAAAATAATATAATACGGTTTTATATTATTATATTTTGTGATGTAATTTATTTCGCTGTATCTTTTATCGAAGTGCATGTTATTACTTTATTATAGTTTATAACTTACATATTTTTTTTTTCATTTCCTCCGCAATAAATGTTAAGTCGCGAAAATTCTTAAAATCTTCTGAATCGTACCGATAGGTATACTGCAGCGCCAACAACTTATATATATATCAACTAAAATTCTAATTATTAAGACCAATGGGGGTACCCATCGTTCCTTTTATTAAAAAATTATATAATAACGCAAAAGCAGAGCTCGGCGTACACAACCGAACACAAGAGACGATACTAAAAATAAATATACCAGACAATATGATATTATTTTTCCAAAAATGTATATAATACGAAACGTGCACCGCCTCGTTGTAAATTATTCCGAGTAAATATTCGATCTCGGTAGAGAAAAATAATACAAATTGCATTAGCATGTAGCTAAATATAATATACATAGTGCAATACAACATAAATTTAATATAATGTGAAGTTGTTTTTATCAAAGTCTTTTGGTCATATCCTGTAGTACATTTGTCCCACTATTTTTTTTTTCAAATCCGTTGAACGTTAACATTTTTACTTCTCATATAAGAATTCTGGGTTTTTAATGATTTCGATTATAAACTTTTCGTTTACTTTAAATCGGACATCTTGGCTTATTAAATTGCACGAAAAACAACCAACGTAGTAACGTCATTTCAGCTTTCAATAGAGAAAGCAAAAGTTTTGACCATACATGGTTATATGGTATATACCTAACAAAAAAATTCCAATCACTTTACTTGCAAGCTCATTTCCACTTACTTTTTTTTTTATCTCAATTCAATTTCTATCTTAAATAATAAATTGTGCATGTATTATTATAGGCTAAAATATTCAAATGATTAGCTAACTTACGTCTGTTAATTTAAGATTTTTTTATACAGGAGAGGTCGAACACACTAAAATTACAATACTAAACACGACTGTTGAAATGATACTGAAAAAGTGAAAAATACAAATTGTTGTAAAAGTTTACCTATATTATAATATAGCAGCATCATTCCGTTGGACTGAAGAAGAAGAATACATAATAATACTCGAATTTAAAAATCAATAATATAAATGCAGGTTTCAACTTGAAGATATAATACTATTATGTTCCTATGGACAATAAACACCCACCATTTGCACCAAATCGTATATGAAACGCCCAACTGGCCCAGCGGCTAAACATATTCAAACTATATAAATTTGTATTATTGTTGGACTAAATTTCTAGTACCTACACATTACCTATTATATTTCCTTAAATTTATAAAAATATAGTTACAATTTTTAACCGAGAACTATCCCATTTTGGCTGCTTTTAAAATATCAAACAGAGGCAAATGCCCACTTTACCTTCCGCCTCCCCTCCCCTCAAATGACGCCACTGAACAAGCCGCTGATATGATTTGAGTGGACGGAAAAGATTTGGTGCAGTATAACAATATGACGTTACGGTATTTACAACGAATCGTAAAACGTTCGTTTCGCTCGGTGGTCTCGCTTTATCTCGGCCACGGTCTCCCGCAAAGGGGATGATTCGTCGAAATAAAAACGTGACCATAAAATGCGCCCCCAGTCTGCCGTGGAACCCTGCATCTCGACGGATTCCACGTACTTACAGTACACTGTACTCCTCGTATAATAATATACACGCTCGATATGTGTATATAATATAATATATGTATTAAAAATATTATTATTATACTATACATGTATATTCACTGTGTGAACGCCATTGTGCTCTCCGCAGGGTAGTCCATAATATTCCAAAACAGAACTGCACGGTCTGCCTATATACATGTGTGTATATATAATACGCATAATATATATATATATATATATACATGACGTATTCGTGTACGAGCTGCCTTCGGTGGAATGCGTGTCGTTTTTATTTCTTTTTTCGTCCTCGCCACTATTGTTGTGCGTTCTATTCATTTTTTTTTCTTTTTTGTCTATTTTTCGTCCCCTCGTCGTGTATATTATATTATTGTTGTAGTCGTCGTCATCGCATGTGCGCAACGTGTAATATATAATATTATAATAATATATAGGTACGCTATAATACCGCGACGTCTCTGTTTGGGAATGTACAACTCTGAACACGAATTTGGACCTCCGTCCTAGTGCAGGCGCCATCGGACTCCGGGCGAGGTTTTGCATCCATCCGCCGCTACGTAATAATATACCACGATCATACCTATGTATTATACCAACATATTATAATGCATATAATATAGGTACTGCAGCGATTACGTTGGTTACGTCGTGGTAGTGGACGCGGTTACATATTGTAAGTAGTAAGAATAGTACCTATGGCCACCTTGGCCGTTGCTCGGGGACTTGCAGGAGACGCGGAGTGCCCCACGTACATGTAGGTATATACCATCGTACCGAATAATATTATATCGACACACCGAATCTTTTCGAATCCACCGCCGCCACCGTTGCGGTTATCGATTAATTAAATCCCGAAATTGGAAACCGGTGTTTAATGCACGACGGATATATACGCGCCACAATCCTCGTCGGACAACACCTGTTTGAGCCGCCGCCCTCCGGCAGGTGGTAACCCTTCCGTTCTACCTGCTCGCAGACGGTTCTATAGTGCATTTCTTTATTTTTCATCCAT